TGCGGGAGGGTCAGTGGGGTCACCCCGGGGGGGAGCTGGGGCTCAGGCTGCTCCAGCCCTTGGCTTTGCCCCTTCATCATCACTGTGCAGTAGCAGGGGCCGGGGGGAGGCCAGGGGGGCCGTGGCCCAGCCCGAGCCCTGGGGCAGCCTGGGTGTCTGTGGGGGTTCCAGGGAATGATGGGGCCGGATCTGGTACTTCCAAGCCCTGCCTATGGAGCCGCCTGCTTCCTCCTGTCTCTGTCCCCTTCGCTCTGGGTCTAGTCCTCAACCTTGCTGGCAGCTGAGCCATCTCAAAAAGATGGCTGGGGCAGGCGGCGGGACCTGCAGTCTACCCCGGCCATGCTTGGTGGCTGTTTTGCCACGGAGTCACCCCGGTTGGTGACAACCCCCTTGACTCCCAAGTGCTTTGTAAAGGCCAGCCCTGTGAAGTGGGGAGGGGAGACGCTAGCCTGGAGGGGGCAGAGGCTCTCTGGGCCGGGAGGTGTGAGGTGGGAATCGCCACCAGGGTCCACTCTCACGAGGCGTCCCCAGCCTGAGCCGGGCAGATGCTCCCGAGGATTACACCATGTGCCTCCTTTAATGGACTTAATCTTGCTGTTTGCTTCATGCTCATGTTTTGCCCTGTAAGCCCAGGAGAGGATTTGGGTGTTGGGGGGGTTGTGGCTGCCCCCACAGTAGGTCTGGTGAGGAGGTAGGGGTCTTGTGCTGGCAGTGGGTTTCTAAAATGCCAAGAATGAATCACAGAATCATTAAGGTTGGAAAAGACCTTTAAGATCATCAATGAGTTGTTGTTTGGCCTGAACATCCCCTTTACTTCCCCAAAGCTCAGTGTTACCCCCAAAGCACGTATAGAGTCCTGGCTCTTGACCCAAGCCCCCAGAGGACAAACGCTTGTGCGCATGTGGGGGGCAGCCCCCAACTGCTGCACATGCTGAGGATCCCCCAGAGCAGATCTGGGCTGTGCTGCGGGTCTGGGGTCTCTCCCATCTGCAGACCTGGCAGAAGGGCTCCTGGGGCAGGAGCAGGGTGGTGGTGGTTCAGGGGTTGGCTCACAGCGGGGCTGTGCCCCAGTGCCAGGCGCTCGGCTCTTTGGCTGTGCCACTAGAGCCCCGCTGTGCCTGCTGCTCGCCGGTAGCGAGGGGTGAACGGGAGGCTGCCGGCACGCGTCGACTCGGAGGACAAAGCCTGTCTCTGTTCCCTGTGGACTCAGCCCCCTCAGCAGCAGGTCTGAGTGGCACCCGAGCCATCCGCCCTCTTGCCCTGCTACCAGAGGATTCGCCTTTGCTTGGAGGAGTAGGAAAGCTCTCTTGCCAAGGGTTGATCTCCAGGCTCCCGAGGGAGAGGCTAGGCTAAAGTCTAGCTTACCTCCCGTGGTTGCTGAGGGCTAGGAAACCGCGCCAGTGCAAGGAGTAAGAAACAGGCAAGACGAAAGGGCACTGGCAGGGCAGGGCTCTCTGGGTGGTGCTTGTGGCTTTTCCCGCTCCCGGGGGTTGGTCCGGCCCGCGC